AGTATGTGCTGAAGATATCACCTAGTAGGGTGATGAAAGCTTCGCAAATTAACCATTAAGCTCAGAGAACACAACCACATCAAAATCATCCACCTGAGTTACAAATCTTCTCTATCATACATAGGATTATGGGTGAACTAGTATTTGGGTATATTTATTCTGATGTATTCGAATAGCCTAGCAACATATCGGTTAATTTCAGTCCAGGGGCATGGTACGTTCGTTCTCGTTGGGTGTCTAGTCTTTAATTTCTCCATCTTATTTGCCAAATCCTCAAAACTACTGCTTTTCATACCATATTTTCGACTGAGACGCAAGCACGATGTTGCGGATATGTTTTCAAATCCCAAAATCTGCAAACGATTATGGCTAAACTGGGAATTTATGAATCAAGAATAATAAGTCTTATTGTATGGAAACTTCAAAAACTTCCAATGATTTGATTTTATGTAGTGTATAAAATTTAGTCTCTGTATTCGGTTTACCATTCCCACCTACAAATAAGTGATTGTACACTCATTCGATTTTAACAGAAATATTCCCACTTAATATAAACCCCCCACCTATGCATATATCCAGATAGAATCGATTGGTCTACCTTAGCTTCTATCAATGCCTTAATTCTGAGTTGAGTATCAGACTGATGCTATATGCTACCTATGTCCATTACAAGTTTGTAATTTATGTGAATGAATGAAACTGTTATTACGATATTGTCAAAATTAATAATTATCTTTAAGAGAACACACGTTAGAAACAAATCTTAAATATTTTGACCAGTTAAACAATGTATTTTTAGAATAGACGGAAATATGAATTTAAGCACTGATCTTTTCGGCTGCTTATTTGATATTCTTATAAGTACCGCATTGTTGTCATCAGTGTTATTCGTTCTTTGCATTTAGAGTTGATCATACAGCTTCAGAAGCATATCCCCATTGCATTCAGCTCCCTCCAAACACTTTCAGCTGGCTACATTATTGCCAACTAGTTCTGACTTCCTCTTCACATGATCTTCTGTGTGTCATACTCGGACACTCAACTCGTAGCTTCCTATTCAACTCCCAGCTGAGAGCCTTCCTGGAGTGCGTTATCACTCGGTGGTCTCCTCAACGTATGCTCAATCCACCTGCAAATTTTTTCGAGATAATAAGTTGCCAGCTCGTCCCCTACCTTGCAGAGTTCCTTGTTGTCTGCCTACCCTCTCCGACAAGCTATCTGATCTTCATTATGTAGTCAAGAAAGGGATCAGCTGTTGGTGAAGATGTATAGCACCATGTTGGAACTGATTTTCTGCAAAGATAAAAAGCACTGACCGACTTGATATTAGTGTTGGAAATTCGGATCTGTTTCCTTGTACTGAATGCTGTAGTCCTTCAAAATGATTTCAGAGCATTAAAGGCTTGTCTTGCTTTCCCGATAAGGTCATAATGTTGACATAACCATCTGTGCCATTTGTAGTTGAGACGATTCTGCCCAGCCAAGTGGAAAAGAGATGATTTCCTTCACATTTTTTTCCTTTTTTGGTGATTGCTATTTGTTGCTTTTCGGTTAGGTATCTTCACCAGTTTTGTCTTCTCCTTGTTCACCAGAAGTTGTTTCCTGGAGGCCCCTTCTGTCACGCATATTGTACGTGTATTGATATTCCCTATTTAGATCAAACAGTGAAGAAATATAGACCATAGTACACCTTTAATCTAAAGGTAACTTGGATTTCCCACTAATTAGTCTTCAAGTTTTATTCACCATGAGGCAATCTGTTGTCTGGTAACGAATTGGTTGCATAATACTTACTATTGTATGCTACTTCAGGACTTCTCATTGTTATCACCTAGTTCTACGGAAAATATCACTAGCAATTTATGGGAGTTTTTAAATTCTCGTACTTTCTCCAGTAGTGAACAGGTGAACACGATGCTGTGAATGATTACAGATGATGTAAGTAATTAGTTTTTTCATCATTTTGCAGCACATTTATTTAGTCATAAATAATAACATTTGTCTTTTGGACCTACTACCATCTTCTGTTTATTTTCTGAAAAGTGGTGAATATTTTGATCAAATCTACTTGTTACACTTGTTGACAGTTATCAGTAAGGCACATCTGAAGCCTTGAAGAAATGCCTTCTGTTATATCGCTTGACAACGAAATGCTTATTCAGTGACTGCCAACAAATACTACAATCTCCTCTGCAGCAGCGATTGCATGGAAGAGGAGCTCCTATTCCTCAAAAATATCCTGGCTCAAAATTGCTACCCGACACGTTTTGTCGAAAAGAACTTGAAACCGAAACATAAAAGAGAAGAATGCGATCCAGCACCAAAGAAAACGCTGTACCTAAATCTGAATTTCAAGGGAGATTCGGCAGCTGATATCATGAAGAGGAGAATATCCAGTTATTTAAAGAAGACCTTCCCTGAAGCAACACTAAGAGTGACATTCTCTAGCCGTCCAATACTTCGAAACAACACGAAGGACAAACTCTCGCATATGACCAATTCATGTGCATATACCAGTTCACTTGCTCGTACGGAGCTAGTTACATAGGTCGTTGTATGCGCGTCCTTTCAAAACGTGTTAGAGAACACTACCCAGCGTGGCTGCAAAGAGGAGGCACCGGTTCAATCAGAAGTGCCATTATTGAACATCTGGTCAGCACCTCCAAAAAAATCTCAACTGATTCTTTCAAAGTGATTTACAAAGTCAACAGAAACCTTCCAAGAGCACTATGTTTCCAACTTCTTTGTACTGCAGAAGCCCTCGCCATATGCATCGAGAGGCCGGAGCTGTGTGTTCAAAAGAAATCAGTCCAACCTGTACAACTACCATGGACCTAGTTTGTTATGTTCCCTTTGCCCCCGTTTTTTCCTTCTTTTCTTCGTCTTTTTTCGTTCTCGCTTTTCCTTTTGAGTATTTTTTCGTTCGCTGTATGTCTGATCCTTAGTCTCTCAGTCTTCATTAGATCTTTATAAAGTTATATTTGTAAAATCTCAGCAAAATTGAAATGATTAATTCCAACGTTTCGTTCGGCAATCTGGTCCGAACTTCTTCAGGGAAATTAATCGAAATCACCAGCGCTCAATTATTTTGCAACTATCCGGTCAAATCTTGATCACAGTTCGTATGAATTCATTAGATCCACCTAATTTTTTTTCAGTTATTTTAAGTTTGTTTGCATGCTTTTCCTGTTCACATTTATAATTCGTTGGATTAACTATTTTACAATTATATCTTAATCCTGTGCAATTTTTGTGTTTCTAAGGCTTTTGTAATCTATATTCAAACCTCCTAACTTTCATTTTAAGCTCAAATTATTATTTCAAATTTTCAGTTATAACTAGTTATTTTAATTTTCAGGATTTCATCATGAGCTGACATTAGTTGGAGAACCATTGGAAAACCTGGGAGTACTGGACAGCTGTTTCGTCCTAGTTTGGGACTCTTCAGCAGTACGCACCCGCCGGGATTAGAACCTAGGACCTTCCGGTTACAAGGCGAGCTCGTATACCATTAGGCCACTGGGACCCGATCCAATGGTCCTTGAATTCTAACTTCTGCCAATTCACGACATAGCGCGACCGCTAGCCAATGTCTTCGGCGAGTATTTGTCCTCACACCCGACCAGCTGCACCCTACTGGTCACAATTCCCACTGGAACCCAGGTAACTACCTACCTGAATAGGGCCAGTCGTCAGTGAGCATCTCATTGGTATTCAAGTGTTGGTGGCTAGCGGTCGCGCTATGTCGTGAATTGGCAGAAGTTAGAATTCAAGGACCATTGGATCGGGTCCCAGTGGCCTAATGGTATACGAGCTCGTCTTGTAACCGGAAGGTCCTAGGTTCTAATCCCGGCGGGTGCGTACTGCTGAAGAGTCCCAAACTAGGACGAAACAGCTGTCCAGTACTCCCAGGTTTTCCAATGGTTCTCTAACTAATGTCAGCTCATGATGAAATCCTGAAACCAATCAAATCCCTGCAAACCAACACTTGAATATTTTAATTTTGTTTCCATGCTCCTGATCACACTTGTAGTCCGTTTTGAATAACCATTTTACAATTATATTCTAATCCTGTGTAATTTTTTGTTTCTATGTCCCTTGTAATCTATATCCACGCCTCCTAAATAACATTTCAAGTTGAAAAAATTTTTGACTTCAATTTGTTTTCATGCTCATTTTGTTCACACCTGTAATTCCTTCAATCCCTGCGTTTCTAAGCCTCTTGTAGTTCATATCAAGTTGAAAACAATTATCACCTTCTATTTGACCTAAAATTATTTCTCCAGTTATCAAATATTAATTTTTGCATACGTTGTAACTGTTTTCTAATCCTATGAAATCTTGTCTCTAAGCCCCTTGTAATCTATATTCGTACCTTCAAACTTTCATATCAAGTTGAAAATTATTATCACCTTCGTTATTATGTGGAATTAAACAAATAATAATTATATCCATGTAAAATAATCAATATAAATGCGATTGTACAGCTTTTGAGAATGAAATCGCCGAAAAGATACCTTTGCTGAACTTCGAGTTCTCTTTTTTCTAATCTACTTTTGATTGACTGTCAATGACTGGTACTGAGTACAGTTCCCTACATAGTCGTATCTCTTAGCATCAAGTCAACTTTACAGACTCTTATGGCATTGAAACTTATGAGCTGTATATTTTATGAAACAGTGAAAATGAAAGAAATAATAATGTATAACAGAACTGCAAACAAATTCGGAGTTAGTTCTGAAATTTTGTCTGTTAAATCAGAACAGAATTACCCGCATTTGAAACTGATAATAACTTAAGAATCTTCCGATAATTTATGAATCCATTAGAATAAAATGTGCAAAAAATAGAAGAATTATTTCAGAGAAAACGTACACACTTTATATAAACCACATTACATTTATCACCAGAGGTAGTTATTGATTACAGATATTATCACATATTTAGCATTAGATACACATCTGATGTTCATCGATTTCTGTCATTATCATTAAGCCCCTTTACGAATCTCTCTGACCTTTGTTACTACTAATATCACTTCTATGATAATTCCACATTTCAATCTCTTCAGAATCATTATCAGCGATGAACTTTTGTTGTGATTGTGTCTGTTGTTGAGAATTTCTCTCTTGATACTCTTTTCTGATCGTTGCTGTAGCTGCAGTCAATAAACGAGTTTTCATTTTCTCCTCACTGATTATTCCAACTTTACAACGAATCATCACTATGAAGACTATCACAATGATTGCAAACAAGTTTGCTAACATATGGTAAGCGAATAAGTTTGCCGCTGCGGGTAAACTCTCTATAGCATTTTCATTCCATGTTGGCATCCATGAGAATTTGGGGTACAAAATAGCACCGACCTAAAGATAGTAATTATAATAGCGGTATCTTATCAATAATGTTGCAGTTTTCATTAAAATTAAGATCTTAAAATGAATAAAACATCAATCCATTGTCAGATTTACAACAAATTAAATGTTTGCTAATTTAGTCTGGTGCCAGTTAGCGACTGGCTACAAAACAAAGTTGGTGGCAGGCATTCTAGTGAGAAGTCATGACCAGTGATTAAATTAGATGACTGGCAGTCGCTCTAAAATTACGAAGTGGCAGAAGTAAGAATAAATCGGCCATTAATTCAGGTTACGGTGACTTAATAGTTTACGAGCATGTCTTGTGAGTTCCATTCAATTTGAACTTTGCGTCTTTGTGTTCTCATCGCTATACAGTAGTTGTTGCATAGTTTCATTTGCTAGTTTTTCGACCAATTCTTGTGTATAATGCTGTTACATCAAAAGGACACCATGATTTCATTGGCATCTACTTGAGTGTTTTTGATTTTCTCTAAAAATTGGACTAGCGAATTGATAGAATGGTAGCATGATTCTGTTAGGTATTTTAATTTTCTGAAAAGTTCTTTGGATAGATTATATGGTGGTGTTTCCGGTAGTGAAACGATTGGTCCTAAGGGAATATTTGGTTTATGTAGTTCCGGTCTACCGTAAAATCGAGGTAAAACAGGTCCGTTAGATTTCATTTGCTGTTGATCTTGTTTGGTAATTTGTCCTAATTTCGTTAGTTTATTTAATGTTATTTTGATTTCGTTGTCTAATGTTTGTTAAGGTGTTTTGTCAACTGTTGATATACATCATTATCTCTGAGTGAATCATCTGCTTTCTCTATGTAGTCTTCTGTGTCCATGATCACTTTTTTTCTTCCTTTGTCAGCTGATAGTATAACTATTTCTATTCTATTCTTCAATTGCTTCAATGCGTTTTGCTCTTGAGTGTTCAGTTGGGTATTATGTTTTTTTGTTTGATTATGGGAATGATACACTGACGTATTTCTTGTTGTACTTCCTCATTAAATTTTGATGATCTGAGTGATGATTCTAAGGAAGCATAGAAATCTGTTTCTGAGGCCTCATAAGTATGGTAGTTCAGACGTTTTCGAAGAAGTTTTTCTTCTATTGTTGATGTCTGTTTCGATAAATTGACTACACAATCATTTAGTGCTTCTTCAGATGATTATTTAGAAATCTTAGCCAATTTTTGTCTGAGGACAACTCGTCTTCCTTCTTTGTGTCGTTCGCTTAATATTTTAATCGCAGTGGTCAGTGTTGCTAAATGTTCTGGGTTGAGAGACAGTTTAATCTTTCCTTTTTGAAATTTAACTACATGCTATTTTTTAGTCCCGTTGTGTGCATCAGTGATAATTAGTATCACCATTTGTTTTACGTGGTGTTTGGCTAATTTTCACCACAGGTTACTGGTGGTTTATATATGATATTGGCTGGTAGGATCTGTTGGCGGAGACATTCATCAAGAAAAAATAGTTGTTCTTCCGTAGAGACTTGCCTCTGGGGAAATCCTTCCCCTTTGAGACAAGACAGAAGCGAACCATGCTCGTAAAATCTTGAAATAATCGAGAAGATTTGTACATGAGGTGGATGATATTGAATTAGATATCCCTTACAACATGCTTTCAATTCAGTAATCAAATATAAGAACCGATTAAAAGAACACAAATGGTATCACCCATATTAGGATCAATAGTTGAAGCTGTTATGCAAGGATTAAAATTAATAGCCCTACCTATAATTAAACCAGAAATCTGGGAACATTACGGTGATGATACATTTGTAACAATTAAAAGAAATGATTTCGAATATGCCCACAAAATGATAAACACCATATTTGAAGACATTAAATTCACAAGAGAAGAAGAATTAGACACCAAAATTCTATTCTTAGATGTCTTAATCAAGAGAGCTAACACAGGAAATTTAGGAAGCCACAGTACCCAAGTTGTATACTTATATCAAGTATTCACATAGTCAACACACACAAACCAAATATTCAATTATAATAGTAATAAACCAATTACCCACAAAAGAATCTGTGTGCAGACATTGTTTAAAAGAGTTCAGTCACACTGTAGCACTATTCCAGTGCCGAAGAGAATGGAGGAAAGTTACCTACTAACCGTCTTCAAAATGTGTTTAAACTCTAGCCATAACACCAACAAGATGACATCACCGAATACCATAAGAAAATCCATCCTATCATTTATAAAAAGTATCTCTGAAGTGACAGCTAGAATATTAAGACCGTTTGAAATAGATAGAGCACACAAGCCAGCCAGCACAATCACTTCATTCGATATTGTGCAAACCGAAAGATCCAACAGAAAAGGAAGGCAAAATTAAAACCGTTTACATAATAAATTGTATGAATTGTAACAGACATTACATCGGTCAAAGTGCGTGTCCCCTTCAAATCAGAATACAAGAACACAAATTAGCTGTAAAAAGACATGATATATATTCTCTGATATCAATGCATGTGGATAATTATGGACACCAATTTGATTGGGATGATGTCGAAATTTTAAACAGAGGAAACAAAAAAAGTGCTGGAGAATTCCTAGAAGCCTGGTACTCAAGCGAATCAGCGATTAACAATCATATCAATATAGACCGAATTCACCAACTAATAAAAAGTAAATCACGCAACGAGAAAGTTCAAAATCCAAGTCAATAAAAAATGATCAATACTGATGTATTATAAATTATTTAAATTAATCCCAGCGTGTTAAGAAAATCAAAACAAGATTTTTCTGAATAAATCTGCTGAAGAAGCTGTGGCTTACACGGCGAAACGTTCAGAAAAATCTTGTTTTGATTTTCTTAACACGCTGGGATTAATTTAAATAATTTATAATGAATCAATCTGACTCGGCGCTCAAATTATTCCAGGAAATTCGTAACACCTACGGTCTGGAAACTTATAATACTGATGTACATTGACCACCATTCACGAGGATGGTTACCAGGAGACACAATTCTATCGTTCATGGGGGATTTAAATCAGTTCATTTTATGCTGAAACTTGCACTGAAGATGTTGTCCAGAAGGAAGATGGAAGCTCCGCAATTAAACCAAGCAGCTCAGAGGACACAGCTAAATGGAAATCATCCATCTGAGCTACAAATGTTCTTCATTATATCAGAGACTCTCTGACTTACATCAATCGGTGGTAAAACTTAGAACAAATCAAATCCCTACAAACTAGTTCTTGAAGACAAGTTATTGATGATTCCAAAAATGACCAAGACCTTTGGGGACGTTCCATCTGACCATGGCAGCATACAATGTATTCATAAGAGCAAGTATAGTTATATTAAATTCGATACCTGGTTAGTTTTAGTTTAGGTTGCAATTTTGAAAAGATTAATTTTGCGTCAGTTGAGGAGTAGGGTTAGAGACTCATGTTTGCTTTTTCTTAACTTCTAGAAGAAGTTAAATAGACATTCAAAGTGACCAAGATTAGAACTGCTGTGATAAAATCATTGGCTGAATGACAGGAGTTCAAATGGTTGAAGGTGAATTCTCCATAAGGTTTTAAATATGTTGAGTTAAACAATTCCAAAAATGACAGGGCTAAATTCCAAGTCCCAGTAGTCTATTAGCTATGTAATATAACTTAGGAGTGCATTCTAATGCCTCGAAAGTCTCCAAAGGCTGACTTTTAACACTACCCAAACCTCATTTTCCTTCCTTATAGATTCGTTTTATGTCTGTATCTGGTCATTCGTAACTTTATAAAGTACTTTGGCTGCCTTCATACGACATTACTGATCAAAGAGGAGGGACGTTTATGATGTTTAATACATGTCCAAGGTAAATCATTCAATGAAGATTACCAGCTTTTTAGAAAAATCTTCTTTATAATTAACTAATGCTACTTTGAATCCCAAGAAAACCACTTGTGGGTCAGATACTTGTCAGTGACGGTACGAGAAAATCTATAGTACAAAATGTAATATTTGCGTGTCCCTTAACTTTATTGACGAGACGCCTTAGCGACACTGGGAAGTGGAGAGACATTGTTCAATAAACATACATCTTGGCAGCATCACTTCAACTACAGGCGGCGTATAATAGAATGTCGAAATTATGACTGGATTGGGAAATCATTATCCTGAAATCAATGTGGGAATCTACAACTGTTGGCACAAGGATAAAGATCTGAATTTTCAATACTAATATCAAGTCAACCAGTGCGTGACACCGAAAACGTCTTTAGCTGGTTTCTGTAGACTTCCATCAACAACTATCTCCAACGGCTCGATACTAAAGACCAGATGACCGATAGGAAATGATAATCAGGCAACAAAGAACTCAGGCAGTCGGTGAACAAGCCAACAATCTATTGCCCATACAATAAACATCCAAACGGAAATGGAGGTGGATTAGACATACGCTGAGTAGACTGTTGAGTAGCATCACACGCAGTTCAGACCCTCGAGTGAACCCTGAATAGGAAGAGATAGGTTGGGCATCTAAGGGTAGCATGGAGGAAGTCAAGTGAGAAGGAAATGAAAGCCTTCGAACAATCGTGAAGCTACTTAAAGAAAGACAGATAACAGAATGTAGTGGAGACGTGCTGATAAAGTCTTTTGTTCCACTAGTTAATACACAGCTAGATATCTAGCTGGCAGTATCCAATCAGGATTTTTGTAAAAAAGTGATGTAACTTGCACAAAAGTATTCTCTTTAACATATTATCCTGAGGATGAACTGGAGTTTTGAAATTTGTCAGTAAATAATGCCAATCACCCGTTATTTTTGTTTAACAAATTTGAATACCTCTTAATTTGGAAGCACATACAGTTGTATTATTGATCAAGTAATTTAAACTATGAATGGAAATATTTAAAAGAACAAAGTCTGTTATGATAGAAGAGTATTCGTGTGAAACAGCATAACATGAGCTTTATAATTTAAATGTACGATCAATACCTTTTTCTCATTGTATGTAATAATTTAAGACTATGTTTATTAACTTCGTTTTAAACTTAG